CTACAAACTTCGTCGTTTGTTCACGCAATAGAAAACGCGCCCCTACCATCAGGCTTCCTTAAGCCCAAATTCACTACATATGAAGGGAAGACGGATCCCTACTTACACTTGAGCCACTTTCGCCAGGTCATGGCTGTATACAGGCGAAACGAGGCCTTAATGTGCATACTCTTCCCATCAAGCCTTGGCGACCTAGGCTTGACTTGGTTCGAGAAACTTCCAGAGGGCAGCATAGCCTCTTGGGCGCAATGTGGCAGAGGCGTTCGTAATAAGGTTCCGAACGAACACTAAAACCCCGGTGGAGATTGACCAATCACTACAACAAAAAGGTCTATGGTGACGAAAACGCGTGACGAAAAAATATTTCGTCTCCAAATATGCATGTTTTAGTGTGAAAATAAGATTTCGTCTCCAATTGTACTATTTTTAGAGACGAAAATCAAATTTCGTCACCAAATGCTTAAAATCAAACAAAACAATAGGTGACGAAAATTTTATTCGTCTCTAAATTTTATTTTTCGTACACAAACTTTTCCCGCCCTTGTAAATTTGGCAGAAGATTAGGTGCCATTTTGGAGACAAATCGAATCTTTCTTGTTCTGACTGTGTCAATGCAGTAGATTGTTCAATGATCCCTGTACTCAAAATGCTCCATTCCTGAGCGAAACTCTCGACACCGGCGCTCTCCGGCGATGTATTCTGCTCTTCGACCTTCCCGGCTGTTATTGACGCCTCTGCCCCTGCCGGGCCTTGTTCTGACTGAAACCCTCCTACCACATCTGGCTGATCGTCCAACCATCCCGTGGCCTCAGCCGATTCCTCATAATGGAACCAGTTGACGGTTGGGTCTTCTGGATCTTGGTTATCCACTACAACAAAAAAGGTCTATGGTGACGAAAACGCGTGACGAAAAAATATTTCGTCTCCAAATATGCATGTTTTAATGATGAAAATAAGATTTCGTCTCCAATTGTACTATTTTTAGAGACGAAAATCAAATTTCGTCACCAAATGCTTAAAATCAAACAAAACAATAGGTGACGAAAATTTTATTCGTCTCTAAATTTTATTTTTCGTCACAAAACAATTTCCCGCCCTTGCAAAATTTGGCAGAAGATTAGGTGCCATTTTGGAGACGAAATTTTTCATCGCCATTGTAAAAAATTTTAGAGAGGAAATAATTTCGTCTCAAAATGTATTATTTTTAGAGAGGAAAACCAAATTTCGTCTCCAAATGCTTAAAATCAATAAAAAAATAAAATTGAACCATAGATATCTCTTTCTGTCACTCCCTCACCCATATATCTCCATCACACCGTCCGTTCATCTTTATCGCATCGGTCAACCCTCACGTCACCAGCCGGCGCTCTCTCTCTCTCTCTCGCGCGCCCTGTTTTCACCTCACTCTCTCTCCCCTGCCCTCTTCTCGCCTTTCTGAGCTCCTTCTTCCCTCTTCTCTCTTCTCACTTTTCCAACCTCCAAGTGGCGTCAAAATTTTAAAACTTTGGGTGAGAAAAAAATTTGTCATTAATTATAAAATTATTAGTGAGGAATATATTTTCGTCATCATTAATTTTACATTTTTTTAAAAAAAAAAACTTGATTTTAAATATTTTAAGATTATTTGGTGAGAAATATATTTCTGTTACTAATAATTTTTAATATTTTGAGACCTTTTAGTGAGGAAATTATTTTGTCACTAATTTTGGATGGAAAATTTTGACAAATTGGATTATAATGAAAAAAAATAGACTACTAATTTTTTCCTCCTTTTTTTTTGTGTGTGTGTGTGTTTATCAATTTTCCTTTTATATCTCTCTCTCACTACAACAAATTGCAAATTTGGTAACTAAAAAATTTCATAAAATACCTATATTTATTTTTTAGTGGGAATACTTTCACATTACTATCCAATTATGATTTATTTTTATTTTTTTTCATATTTTTCTATTTCTTTACATGCATCCAAAATTACAGCGCCATTTTTTTTTTTGATTTAGCGCCTAAATTGAATAATATCAAAATTTCAGTCCAAAAAAACTTTTCATCTCCTTGATTAGAACTTTGTACCCTAATCTATCTATAGTTCCTTCACAAAGCTGTAACAGAGAACCATCGTCAGTTCATACTCCACCGTGAGGACGGTTCATCCACCACCGTGAGTTCATCCTCCATTGTCAGGACGGTTCGTCCTCCACACCGTGAGTTCATCCTGCACCGACATCAAGCGACAGCACCACCGTGAGTTCCAGGTCAGTTTGTTGTCTCTCTCTCTCTTTCTCTACCCCTCTCTCTGTTCAAGTCTCTGGGTTTCTCATTCTCTACCCTCACTCTGTCTTCGGACATGTATGCGTAAATGGAATTCATTGTTAAGTTGAGATTAAAGTCATTCCATTCGTTCCTTCTAACATCTCCAAAACTTCTTTGCTTTAAAGGTTCTATGAACAACTTGAATGATTTTAATTTGGGGGAAAAACATAGAAAATAGAATGATTAACATGCTATGTATTCTAATTATGATATTTATATTCTACCCAATATAATCATTGAAGTGAATGAATTACTGGTGATTCTACACACAGTAAAGTCTCATGCTTCTGATTATGGGTCTACTATGTGTTTGATAAAATGCCACAATGGCTAATTTTTTCTTCATTGTTTTGTTTATTTTTTTATTTTATTTTTGTTGAGCAGCAGGATTGGATAATTATAAAATCTGATTTATCAATTTGTACATGTCAATTGTCCGGTGGATGAATCTCAGTTTCATTCCCTATGCATTTATGCTCTTTAATTTTTCTGTTTGTTGCATCTGTTATTTTTTTTGTTCCACAGATTGTTACTCTTTCGTACAGAGCTCCAGAGGTTTTATTAGGATCAACTCATTACTCAACTGCCGTGGATATGTGGTCTGTGGGTTGCATTTTTGGTAACACCCTTCAATTCCATGGCCCACCATATACTTTCTGTGGATTGCAATTTAGTTGTTTTGAGACTGCTATCTAGACATTAGGTTTGGGGATTTTACAATGAAGTCTCTAATTGCCCCTAAAAAACATTCATCAATTTCTATTGTAGCTTTCACATTATTAGATATTGTGTGTCCATCACCCTTTAGCTCCTATTGCCCGGACACCACACCAGCTGTGATCAACAAATCAGTACGGATCAAGGAATTTAATCTTTTTAGTGTAAAAGAAACTGTCTATTCTTGCTTTGGTGGCAACTACTAAGCTCAAGAACATCAGTTTATTTTCCTGGGAAAAATTTCACTTAACCTTTGATCTGTAGGTCGTTACAACTGAAATGGCAAGGAGACAAGCTTTATTCCCTGGCGACTCCGAGTTTCAGCAGCTGCTTCACATATTCAGGTATATTCTTTTAAACTTTGGTTAGTTACCCGTCCTCTAGAGGAACCTTTGGTAGACAGGTGTTCCTAACTGATGCTGCTTCTCTTTTTCATTTTGGTTCTGTTCCTGATTGCTAGTTTGCTCTCTGTAAAATCCAAGTCATCCAATAGGTTTGATTCACCATAAAACGGGTTCCATTTAATCGGGGGGGGGGTATGCCTCGTGAAATGTTCATGGTTGGTAGTAAATTGTTTGGGAAACCATTGTTCGAGTAAGAGGGTTTATCTTTTGCCTTAAAAAAATGCGCATCTTCATCTGCTTTGTCCAATGTTTTTGGGAACAATATGAAATTTTGCAGCAAATGATATGTAGAAAGATTGGTTTGAACGTCTGATTAACACAATTGTATTGGCAAGAGGGACATATGATTTGACATATTTATTGACTGGCACAATTGTACAGAAAATGGAATACTTTCACATTACTATCCAATTATGATTTATTTTTATTTTTTTTCATATTTTTCTATGTCTTTACATGCATACAAAAGCCAAATTTTTTTTTGATTTAGCGCCTAAATTGAATAATATCAAAATTTCAGTCCAAAAAAACTTTTCATCTCCTTGATTAGAACTTTGTACCCTAATCTATCTATAGTTCCTTCACAAAGCTGTAACAGAGAACCATCGTCAGTTCATACTCCACCGTGAGGACGGTTCATCCACCACCGTGAGTTCATCCTCCATTGTCAGGACGGTTCGTCCTCCACACCGTGAGTTCATCCTGCACCGACATCAAGCGACAGCACCACCGTGAGTTCCAGGTCAGTTTGTTGTCTCTCTCTCTCTCTTTCTCTACCCCTCTCTCTGTTCAGGTCTCTGGGTTTCTCATTCTCTACCCTCACTCTGTCTTCGGACATGTATGCGTAAATGGAATTCATTGTTAAGTTGAGATTAAAGTCATTCCATTCGTTCCTTCTAACATCTCCAAAACTTCTCTGCTTTAAAGGTTCTATGAACAACTTGAATGATTTTAATTTGGGGGAAAAACATAGAAAATAGAATGATTAACATGTTATGTATTCTAATTATGATATTTATATTCTACCCAATATAATCATTGAAGTGAATGAATTATTGGTGAGCACAGCCTAAGAGTGTATTTGAGATCCGCAGTTTTCTGGGATTAGCTGGGTATTACCATC